CTTGGCTAAAAAATGACGTTTGTAAAAAAGTAGCAATTGAATGATGCTAACCCGTGCCTCATCGAGATTAAAATTTTGAAAAAACCACATTTTTTGTTTGTAAAATAAAAACGGTTTATCATAGAATTATGATTTTAATCTCATTTTGTTTATCTGTTTATTTTTTTCAAATTTTATTATCAACATCATTTAGCTATTATCAAGCTGCTCTGATGGAATAAAAATTCTCATAATGAGCCCTGTAAGCCGACACACTTAACACTTGAAATGCAGTTTTGCCAGAGGCGTAACCAAAGGGTTATTATAGGCTAAAGCTACCAAAATGGAAAATTTTGGTAGGGTTAAGTCTAAATTGAACAAAATTTCTATTTAAATTTTAAAAATTTAGATTAGAAATTAATTCAGCCGTCCACATAACTAAAATTAAGCTAATTTTGTAAAAACACTGCACCGGTTATAGTTGCGAAATTTTTACAATTTGTGTTATGACCCATAAAAATGGTAGAGCAAATACATACCTTCTCTCTCTTCAGACCATACTCGAACAATAACTGTTTCTCGCATGCTCAGGTATAAAAACTAGGCAGGCATAGAAGTTATCAAGTAATAACGTTTCATTTATAACATAAAACAATATTGACAACTACCGACATATGTAAACTTCAGTCTAAAAGGATTGAATTTAAAAAATATTCGACAAAGAATATGCGAAGAATTATGCTCGGGCTCGGTTGGATAATTTTTGAGGGCCATAAAAAAGTGGGTCCTCTTGGCTACAACTTGTTCAGACTAGATGTAAACCCAGCACTGCTGATAGGCGAGCGAGGATGCCCTGTCACATTCGAACTCTGTCAATGCACGCCCGGTGAAACAGGACCGGGCTTCATTAACTAGTATGCCATCACACGTACTTGACCGTTGTACTTGTAAGTTTTCAAGTACAGGTATTATGTAAGTTTGCAAGTACTTAGGTCTCAAGTGCAAGTACTTCAAATTGGTACTTGAGTTTAAGCACCAAATCCCTGGAGTCCACACGCAACGTTAACGCAATGCAAAGTTTTAGATTTCGTGACTCTCAGCATTAATCTTGCAGGCCTCGCCAGTGGCAATTAAGAATTTCGAATTTCCACTGAATTCGCCACTGGGCCTTGTTTTACTCAGTTGAGTTGTTTGGAAATCATAAATACAAAATTTATTTTTATGCCTGATATGTTCGAGTGTTTTTCTGTGGGGATAAAAAAAATCATTACACTAAAAAATCAACATTTTCACTTTTTCTTTCATATGTAACACGAGAACTTTTTTAATGGAAACATTATTCTTTAAAAATCTAAACTAATACTTTTGTTTTCATTTGTCAAGAATCAAAAAACCTGCTACTGCGGATCCATTGAAGATCAAAATGACTTTTATAATCCATTCAACTATGGTGGTTGTGCAAAGGACTGTCCTGGGGATGCACGTCAAAAATGCAGTTGCAAAGCCAAATTTTCAAGTAAATATTTTTATTATAAATAATAATTATTTCAAAATCTTTTCAAGCTGTTCATAAAAACCAATAAAATCATCACAACACAATTTGTTGCTAGAAAGTTAATTTGGTTGTATTTATTAATAAAGTGTTTATTGGATGACTGAAAATTAAAAAAATACTTTGACATTATAAATAAAATTTCGTTCCTCTTTTCATATAAACATTGCAGCTGAAACCCAGATTTTGCTAAATATAAACCATCATGCAACACTACAGTGCAGTAACGGGTTTGTTTTTGAAGGTAGATGTAATAAATGTAAACCGGGCTGGAAGTCAGCCTACTGCAACCAAAGAGGTCTGTTAATTAATGATCAGGATTATTCATTTTAGGAAAATGAAGCATTTTTCAAAGAATATTATTTTTTGTATGAAATTCGAGAGTTGCAATTGTGGACTGGTAAATTTTATCAATGTTTAAAATTTTAATTTCAGTCAAATTCGCATTATCCGGATCTCGTATTACCGTGAAATTCCTTCCGGATTGTACAAATTTTGCATGACGCCAATAAAAATTTTGTTTCAAAACTGCTCACTGTAGATTTTAAAAAAGAAAACTAAAAGTTAATAAACAAACATATTAGCCATAACTTAATTAGTAAATGACCGCAGTCGATTGTTTTTCAGCAAGTTTCATAAGTCTTTCATTTATATTTGCGGTATCAGGTAATAATTTCCCCAATGTTCCCCAATAATTTCCCCAATTTCCACCGGGGGGGCCTGGGGTGGCCGGGCCACCCCATGCCCTTGCACCGGCCCCCCCACCGGCCCCCCCACCGCAAAATAACAACATTTCAATATGCCCCTATTGCCCCAAAACATCGATTTACATAGAGTTTGATATTGCAATTGCGCGAAATATTTTGAATACTATAAAACAAAACATGTGCATAAAATGTGTGCATTAATTTTTACCGATCCGATCTAGATATTTTAATACTCTTTTATAATAGAACTTTTAGCACATCGCTATTTTGTTATCTGTTCTGCTTTTGAACCGTTCCATGGAAACTGTTTACTGATCTTTATTAAATCACTTAACACATTACACATTTCTGTAATTATCCAATATTCTAATAATGCCGACTGAAGAGAGAAATAGAAAACGAAAAGAAGAGTTAATTAATCAAGCCGCCGCTAAATGTTCTCGATTAAATCAGTTTTTTAGGTTGGTCAATCTTTCTTTCTGTTTCTATTCATCTTTCTTAAAACATTAAACTGTAAACAATAAACATAAACATCATAATCATAACATAGTTTGTTACTTATTATACAAATAAATATTTATATTTTAATTTTGTTTGCAAACCAAACACCAGTCGCCCAAATTGCTGATTTTCTCTTTCAAGTGCCGTTTTTGTATTTTATTCATAAATATTATTCCTGGCGAAGTTTTAAATAAAAAATGAAGGCTCGGATAATTAATTTTTGGTTTTTAAGAGTTTGTGCGTGTGGTTTTTGGATTATACACAGTTCGATAACGTTTTATTATATAACATCTTAATATTCAACAAAAATAAATTATCAGTTTTATTTAAATTAATTATAGAGCGACAACTGATACCGGCGAATTTATTAATGAAATGCCAACTACAAGTAAAATTTCTGTTGCATCTTCAAGAACAAATATCCACGTTGTCTAATGAAATGGAGGTT